TCCAGCCATGCATACCCCGCCATTAAGGACTCTCCCTCTGGAACCATAGCCAAAATAAATTCTTCTGCAAGTCCTTTTGGTCATTGTTGTTTTATCCCAGCAACAGAAAAGTAACCAAATTCACCAAGATTACACCCCAATTACCTATGTCCTCTGTTGTTGCTTTTGCTCTTTTGCTCTTATGGAGGACCCGCTACCTAGCTCCCAAATAAATCACACACGAAGGCTTATACTTAATTATAAATGCCTGGCCTTAGTTTGGCTTGTTGCTGGCCAGCTTTCTTAACTTAAATTATCCCATCTATATTCTGCTTCTGGGCTTTTTCCATTCTGTTACTTCTGTAAATCTTCCTCTTACTCCGAGGCTTGCTGTGTAGCTGTGGGGCTGACCCCTGGAGTCCTCCTCCTTCTCTGGCTACTTCTTTCCTCACTCCTTCATCCCTTTTCTTCCTCTCCTCTTATATTTCTCCTTCAATATATTCTCTCTGCCTGCCAGCCCCGCCTATCATTTCTCCTGCGTTGCTATTGGTCAGTTCTTTATTAGATCATCAGTGTTTTAGACAGCACAGTAACACAACTTCACAGAGTTAAGCCAATGCAACATAAACAAAAGTAACACACCTTAAAATAATGTTCTACAACAGTCCTCCAATGAGGCCCCATCCCCTAAAGTTTTCACTACCTATGGTAAGCCATCAAATTAATCAATGGAATGATGAGGAGAGAGGACTCACAGTCCAATCATCTGCTAAAAGCCACATCTCTGAACATTGCTACAATGGAGACCCAGTCCTTAACATTTGAGCCTTTGAGAAACACTTCAGACACATACCCTTCAAAGCATTGTCTTCTGTGTTAAATGTAAACTTTTATCACATGGGTTCCAACCAAAAATATAGCTTCAATTCTCTGTGGCTGAAATGAAAAAAAAAATTGTATCTACTGCAGTCTTCTGAAATTAGCTTTCTTCATTCTGTGAAATACCAACTTACCCAGATAACACACGGTTATGGTATGTTCCTTTTTAAAAATGTATGTCATCTGAGCAGAGTGCTATAATTTATTCACAGTCTTGAAATAAACACTTGGGTTATTTTGGTAATTTTTTTCTATTACAAGCACAATGTTGCCAGTACAGTTTTGCAAGCATTTTTTTAAAAAAAGGAAAGGATATATACCTATGAGTGAAGAATTTATATAAGGACACACATATGTGTGTACATACATACATTTTCAACTTTAGATTTTTTTACTTTCCTCCCAAAGTGATTAGGCACATTTACATTGTCTTTGTCAATGTATCATATCGATCAGATTCCCACCTTCCAAACCTTAGCATTATTGGATTAGTATTGATCAACTTACTAACCATAAAATATTATCCCCCTCAATCTTTCATCTGCAATTTATAGGCTAATAATAAGCCTGAGCAATACTTATATTTTATTTGCTGTATGGATTTAATGTCTGCCATGTAGTTTGGGTACTTTCCAGCTGGATCTTTCGAGACTGTATTGATTTTCAGTACTGGGGATTGAACCAAGGGTCTTTGTTGGGTACTTTGCCACTGAGCTAATATGCCAGCCCCTTTCTATTTTATTTTGATGGGCTGGCTAAACTGTCCAGGTGGCCTTAAACTTTTAATTCTTCCTCAACCTTCAGAACAGCTGAAATGATAGGCATGCATCAGCCTGCCCCCGCCCCCCACTTCCTTCACACATATTCTCAATATTGTTAATGGGAGGTGATGAATCTTGACTATTTCTGAATATATATATATAATGTTTTTCCCAATCCACTCTTAGAGTTCTTTGGGTCAAAATGGTTGACTTTAGTTGCTGGTATATTCTTCCCTTACTAGTAATGGCTCATATTTGTGGGATGAGAAGTTTACAGGGCACTTTTGAAACCTTATCTCAATGGACTGTCACTGTCTCAACTTTAAAAAAAACAACCTAGCTATTAGCATTCTTGTTTTGCAGGTAAGGAAACCAAGCAGCCTTTCTAACACTGTAGGGCTAAGTCCTCAGACTCAGCATCCTACATCCTTTGTAAGATTATATGATGCTTCAGCTGTTTGTAGATTATGGCTTATTCATTTAAAAAAATATTCTCTGCTTAGCATCGTTATCCATTTCTCTCTCTCCTATCATTCCTTCTCCTCTCTTCCTTTTCCTCCTCCTTTTCCCTCCTCTTTCTCTCCTTCCTCCTTTCCTTCTCTTTTGTGTATAACACAAACATACAACTCTTCTTTAGAGTCCATTTTAGTTCCATTATCTACAAAATGAATAGATAAGTAAAGAAAGCCATAGGTAATTTTCTCTAAATTAAAAAAAAATATTTATTTAATTGTTTGTTTCTTTATTGTGGGGGGCAGGGTGGACATTTACATGCAGCAACCTGTGTGTGGCCAGAGGACAACTTCTGGGAATGAGTTCTGTCCTTCTACCATGTCGGGCTCAGGGACAGGGATCAGGTGTTCAGTCTTGGCAACAAGCTGCTTTCTTTAACTGCTAAGCTATCTCACTGGCCCTACAAGAAAATTTTCCAATTGGAATTTTTTTTGAGAGTCTTGAGTTAAATAAAAAAAAAGCAGGAGTTGCCTATTCTGTAACAAACTTTTTTTTTTAAAGCAATGGGTCTGGGTGCAGTGGGGCATGTTTGAATCCCAGCACTCCAGAGGCATAGGCAGGGGGCTAACTGCAAGTTTGAGGACAGTGAAAGTTAGGAAGAATAATATAGGAAAATATACTTTTAACACTTGTTGTCTTATTTGGTTGCTTTCTTTTTACCACTCTCTATTTAATTATAAATTAATCTCCATTTGTTATAGCTAATTTAAATCATGCCCAGATTAGAATTAGTACTGATATGAACCCCTTATTCAACCTCCAGCTGAAGCAAATCTGAGCGACTGGGTGGCTATCTAACATCTCCTGGGAGAGCCAGAAAACAGGGAGTTGAAGGATGCCTCAATGTAGCTCTCAATTACCAAAAAAGTACTTATTATTTTCTTCTAGTTGCAAAATAAATACATTGCTAGATAAATAAATTCTCAAGTTAATACAACTACTTCTTGTGTAGTCTTTAGCCTGTTTTATTTTATTGTTGACAGTGTCCCCTGTAGCCCACACCAGCCTCAACTCACCTTGTAGCCAAGGATAGATAACTTGGGACTTTTGATTGTCTTGCCCCTACCTCTGGAGTAATAGGACTATCCGCATGTAGCACCATACCCAGTTTATGCTGTGCTGGGGAATGAACTCAGGGCCTTGGACAGACTAGACAAGCATCCTGTGAATTGGGGCACATCCTCAGGCACCTCTCTTTAACCTCTGGTGTTTGGATGGCTGGTTCTATTCTTACATGCATTACAGACATCAAAGAGAACTGTGTTTGATGAAACTAGCAGTAACAAGAAAGGACCTGGGGATAAATACGGAAACAGAAGTCCTATTTTGAGGTACTTTAATCACCAGCTAGTTGGTAAGCACTTAAGTATTTCCGGGACACATCCCTTGATGACAAAGAAAGAGATAGGCCCATATCACTTCTTCTACAAAGAGAAAGGTCTTTAACATCAACTATTTGTGGTCTACAGGTAAATACTAACATGGCCTTTTCTTGATTTCTTCCTAGGATTATTATACCTACAGTACTCATCCACCAATATTTCCACATCAGCGTCCAATTTGAAAATGGTCATCCTTTTGTTTTTCTCAAGGTGCTGCCCTCGGCACATATTTTGATCTGAGTCTGAGAGTTGTGTTACACCGTGTGTCTGAAGATGAGCTCTCCGTGTGTATTTCTTTTGTGAGTCAGGTATTACGCCTGGCTCCTGCAGCTCACGGTAGTTGGGGATAATTACACTACAAAGTGGTAGCACAAGAGAGCTGAGTGTTAGGGCAAGGGGCACCTAATGACCATGGAATTCAGACCTGTGTCTGGAGGGAACCGGGTGAGTTGGTAATTTTGAGTTTCACATAATTTACAATTGTGGGTCGATCATTACAGGCTGTGAATGTAAGAGTCACCCCTTCCTAACTGGGCAGCTTCTAGAATCACCTAGTCCAGAGGTTCTCAACCAGGCAATTATCCACTTGAGAGGAAGGGGGGAAATTGTGTGTGTGTGTGTGTGTGTGTGTGTCTGTGTGTCTCTCTGTGTGTAGGTATGCCCATGTTCTGGTGTACATGTGGATATTACTTTTGGGAGTCGGTTCTCTCCTTCCATCATATGGATCCTGGGGACTGGAACTCAGGTCAGGAGGTTTGACATCAGGAACCTTTAACTTGCTGAGCCATCTCACTGGCCCCCTCATTTTATTTTTAAGAAGTACATCTTTCAATTAATTGCTATAACCAAGAGGTTTGTGAGTAAGATGACCATATAATTGAAAGTCCACTTTGGGACAAGGGTTAAGATAGGTGGGACACTGGGACAACAAACCCGATAGGAGATGTTCCAGGTAAATAAATAAACAGGGTCTGGCTGCGTGGAGAGGGAAGAGTGCCCCGGCCTTGCATGAGGTGAGGTAGGAGGGTTGATTTGGTAGAGTCTTCCCTCAGGAGGAAAATGCCCAAAGCCCTAGACATTTCCTGCACAAGATAAGCCAAGGGATAATTTTAAACACTTTACAAGGGTGTGTACATCCTTTAATTAAAAGTAGTGTTGGAGCTGGAGAGTTCAGGGGTAGGCCAGTTGCCTGCCATGCTTGAGGCCCCTAGGTCAATCCTTCAGCATCTCCCCCTTCCTCCGTCTTAAGGAAAGACTGTGCTAACGACCAGGCTTCTGGAGAGCACTGTTTGCTGCCCCCTTTAGAAGGGAAGAAACCCAGAGGCAGAAGAACTCACAAAAAAGTCTGCTGTCCCCACAAACCTTACTAAGAGCATGATCTCTGGGTGAAGACACGTTTAAGAGCCAGACCATGGGACCTTATGTCCCTGCGTGGTCCGTGCAGTCCGGTCAGTCCATCCCTTTCAAGATGCAGGAGAAAGCTTACCTCAAAACCCGGCAGGAAAACCATCTATCTTGCCTGAACGCTCAATGGAGAGACCTTGCTGAGGTTCCACCCCGCCCATGGGCTCAGGCCCCGCCCACCAGCCCAGCCGCAAGTTCTTACCTCAAGCTCCGCCCACTACCACAGACCCCACCCACCCGGGCGGGCACGCTGTGCTCAGACCCCGCCCACCACTCTTCTTGGCCCCGCCCATGCCCCCCCGCCCGCGCTTAAGGCCAGCTGTTGCCGTGGGTCTGTTCAGAGCCCTCGGGTCTTCCGTCGGCGGTGGCCGCAACGCCTGAAGTGCGCGTGCGCGGCGTCGCAGCCTGGGTTTCCCCCGCAGCCCGGACTTGGTACGGCCGGGCGGTTGGTGCGGTCTGCAGCTGCAGCCCGGGGCGCGCTTTTCAAATCGTTCCCGGACTTGCACCGGCATGGAGGGGCGGCTGCTGAGGGGCCTCCCGGCGCAGCAGGTGAGCGAGGCCGGGGACTGGCGAGCTGCAGCCTGGAGAGAGATCGGGAGCCCGAGCGTGCTCCGTGGCTTTGCACGCCTCTAGGCTGCACCCCAGGAGGAGACTGAGGCCGGGGCTGGAGAAGGACACCGGGGCCCTGCTCACCTGCGGGTCCTCCTCAGGCTTGCAAAGCCGAGGTGGTAGCTGGGGAGCGGGTGCCGGGGTTGCTACCAGCGCTTCCTCGTCCCGCACCGCTGTGCATCTAATGGTGTGGGCGTGCATCAAACTGGAGGGGGGCGGGCGGCGGGGTGGACGCTCAAAAGGCATGTTCTTAGCTTTACGGGAAGATAGAAGTTTAAACGAGGATTCTTGCACAAATGCTAGGAAAAAGGGAGGACACTGAATTGCAGACAAATTCAGTGTTTTTTAGTCACGTAAAATGAGTTCAAGCCTTTTTTACTTAGCGTAGTAGAGAAAGAATATTTCTTGGCCACATCAGTTAGTCAAGTGTTAAAAGTATACTTCCTGTTCATTACTTTTAGCCTTTTTTTAATTAAAAGAAAACTCAAATGCCTTTCAAGCTACATCTTCACTTCCATTTTAATTTTCACCTTCTTTTACCGGCTTCTGAAGTATAGTAATTTGCACTATATACAGTTGCCAGATTTGTGGGTCAAGACTGGAAGACTGCTGTTGCATAGAATTTCCTTAGCAGATAAGGCATTGTTAGGAAGTAATTCCTCTGTAATTCTCTGAAAAGTTGAGCAGGCTTTGAGTCATTGTGCGAACCGTATTGGTAGTAACAGGTGCTGTTTTCTACTAACATTCACCAAACTTTCAAATCTCCTGTAAATTATTTCTTCTTATTTTGTTACGTATTTTCAGCTGTCCTGTTTGCATATTCCAAGGATAACCTTGAACTCCTGAAGCTCCTCTTGTGTCCACCTCCCTAGTGTGGATATTATTTGAGTGCCCCACCCCGCCTGACTGATGAGGAGCCAGAGTCAAACCCAGTGCCTTGTGCATTCTAGACAAGCACTCTGTCAACTGACACAGACTTGATTTTTAGTGAACTGTAATAAGATCTGTAATAAGATCAGGTTTCAACTTCACAGGAATATTGAGTCAGGAAGAGAATTTTTTTTTTTTTATTTTTGGTTTTTCGAGACAGGGTTTCTCTGTGTAGCTTTCTTGTAGGGATCATGTGAGTGCTGGTGTGGTAGTCCAAGTCCAAATGTGTTTATTAGTGTGTGCTGTAGCGACATTTAAGAATAGTGCAGAAGAGAAAGGAGAATAACAAAGCGTGGCTGTTTGTAAGGAAAATGGCGCGCGCGCGCGTGTGTGTGTGTGTGTGTGTGTGTGTGTGTGTGTGTGTGTGTGCGCTACTTGAATATTACATATAGAAAATATGGTAAGACTGGTTTATATTAATATAGTAAGATATAATTGTTAGTAATTTCTGAGCATTATAATATCAAAATAAAATGCAGAATTAGTTTTTGTTTGGGTCTTTGAAGATAAACAGCAAAATAGTAACAGGTTTCAACTTCACAGGAATATTGAGTCAGGAAGAGAATTTTTTTTTTTTTTTTATTTTTGGTTTTTCGAGACAGGGTTTCTCTGTGTAGCTTTGCGCCTTTCCTGGGACTCACTTGGTAGCCCAGGCTGGCCTCGAACTCACAGAGATCCACCTGGCTCTGCCTCCCGAGTGCTGGGATTAAAGGCGTGCGCCACCACCGCCCGGCCAGGAAGAGAATTTTTATACTTGACTAACACTGACTTTTTATTTGGTATGTGTCCCCTACCCCCACCCCAAAATGAAATCTATGATCTAATAATAGGATGAAGCCAGAGGTTCGGTCCTTTGAGCTCTGCTCCAACCTTGGAAGTGTCTGGGAATAGCACGTTGGTTTTGGAGTGAGATTCAGGTCAAATCACACTCTGCTGTGCAATTCCCGAGAACCCACGGGTTGCTCTGAGTCCGGTCTCCACGGTCACAGAATGGCTGAAGTGTCTGTCTTAGGAAGGTCTTGGATTTGATAGCCTCTCTATCTAAGGGACAGGACTAACAACACTTGACCTGTCCTCTGAGCAGCTGAGGCAGTCGCCTAACCCTTCCTTGTAAAGCTTAAGCTCCTGCAAAAAGCACCAGTACGCATAAAGTTTGAGAAGAAGCATTTTGCCCCTGTAAAGTGTTTTCAGAACGTGAATGAGATTTCTATCCTCAATTCTCTAGACTGGTTAGTGTCAAAACAATTTCTTATATAAACAGATCTTCAGTGCGTGGAATTTTGTTATTAACCATTTCTTACATAAACAGTTCTTCAGTGCGTGGAATTTTGTTCAGAAACAGAGGTTAGGGCTGGTGAGATAGCGCCGGGGTAAACGTGCTCGCTCTACGAGGTGGTGACTTAAGCTGATCTCTGGGACCTGTGGTGAAGGGAGAAAACTGGCTCCCCAAAGTTGCTGTCTGGCCCCCACATGAATGCCATGGTACTGCAAGTATCTGTATATGCACACCTACACACACACACACACACACACACACACACACACACACACACACACTCTCTCTCTCTCTCTCTCTCTCTCTCTCTCTCTCTCTCTCTCATAATGACAATAATAAATAAAATGTTTTTAAAAGTAAACATACTCTAGATAAGCTGCTTTTAATTTTCTTTATCTTCCCCTTGGTCTCTTTGCCAACATGGCTTAGTTACAGTTGTTAGGTGGGTTGTAATTTCAGTCAGAATTACTTATGGATTATTTCTCTCTTGTTTTACGAAGCCCCCCATCCCTGCTTTCAATTTTCAAAGTCACTTCTTAGGATCAACGATGAGGCCATTCTCTGTCTTTGTGCTGTTCTAGCTGTAAAACCTGTCAGACATCTCTTCTCCATAATCTAGATGGCCTGCTTTGTAATCTTGGCTTTTCTGTGGCAGTAGAGATCAAATTTAGGACCCTGTGCCTTCTAGGGATACAATGTACTGCTGAACTAGCTCTAATCTCTCTTCCCTGTGTGGGTTCACAGGTGTAGAGTTACGCTTGTCTGTGCACACACATGTGTAGAGTTACACTTTGTGCACACAGATGTGTAGAGTTACACTTGTCTGTGCACACACATGGAGGTCAGAGGTCAGCTTCAGTTCTTTTATTGTTCTCCACTGTTTTGTTGCTGATTTTTTCTTTCAAGACAAGGTTTCACCATGTAGTCCCTGGCTGGCCTGAAATTCAGTATGTAGAGAAAGCTGAACTGAAATCACAGAGATCTACCTGCCTCTGCCTCCCCTGTGCCGAGATTAAAGGTGTGGGCCACTATTCCTGGCTCTGTGTGTGTGTGTGTGTGTGTGTGTGTGTGTGTGAGAGAGAGAGAGAGAGAGAGAGAGAGAGAGAGAGAGAGAGAGAGAGAGAGAGAGAGAGAAAGACAGAGCGGGACACAGAGACAGAAGGAATCTTCTACTGAACCTGGAACTTTCCATTTCTGCTAGCCTGATTGCCAGTAAGCCCAGGATCTGTGTCTTCTCCTCCCTGGCACTGGGGTTACAGGGGCACACCGTGGTGCCTGGCTTTTCTGTGGCTGAACTCAGGTCCCCATGCTCTCACAGCGAGCCATCTCCCTACCTCCCCGTTTCTACTTTTATGTATCTTAAAGGTTTATTTTTATTTATGTCCATATATGTGTGTGTGTATGCACATGTGTGTGGGGCCCCTGGGAGGCCAGGAGAAGGTGTTGGCTCCCCTAGAGCTGGAGTCATAGGTGGTTGTGAGCTGCACGTTGTGGGTTCTGCCAGCCGAACTCCTACCCTCTGGGAGAAACAAGCACTCCTCACTGCTGAGCCGTCTCTCCAGCCCTTATGTTCTGCTTTTATAGGGTCCAACGTTTCTGTTTCTAGCTTGGCTCTGCCCACTCCATCTTCGCTGCTAACTTTAAAGATTTATCAGGACAGCGATGTGAGTTTCTGTGTGACCTGATTATACGCATGCCCTTATTCAGAAAATGGAACTCTGGAAAAGAGGATGACCAGCCCCACTCTTCTCGGGGACTTGCTTTCCAATGACACTCCAGCAGGATGCATATGGAGCAGCTTGTCTCATTGGCCATGGTCATCCTTTACTCTGCCTGGCTGTGCCCTTCGGGCCCAGGCATTAACCATGATGATTTAAATTCCTCAGTCCTCTTGGAAGACAGTCAGCATCACTGCATGCTCAGCAGATGCCCTTCCTCTCGTGATCTTTATTCTCACAGGATCACCCCAGACATCAGTTTCTCCCCAGCAGTACCATGTACACCTACTCAAAAAAGACTAGTCCTTGGGCTCTATAAACCATTGCTAGGCTAAGGCTGGTTAGCATTGGTCAGAGGTTTCCTTCTTCACGGACGTGTGCTAACAAGTTGTGTGGGAAGCATAAGATTGCTGCCGCCGTGGACACCGTCAACTGAGTGTGTGCAAAGACGATGTGTACATACACTTAGCAGTTAGTTCGCCCCGCTGAGACAGCCCTTTTCCATCTGCTTGACGAGCCAAGGCGAAGGAGGCAGGGTCCAAGTCTACAGTGTGGATTCGCTGCAGTGGGGGTAAAAGGGCACACGGTAAATATTTTCCATTTTGCTGACCACAGCCTTTAACTGTCCCACCTTGACCCATTGT